ATTTACGTTTGTCGCCTTTATTGGGTTGCTGGCCTTCTGCAAACCAGCGGTGTTAATTAGACGAAACACCTGTGTGCGCCTTGTAGTGAAATTATGAGTTGAAAGCAACCTCAACTCGTTTTACAAGATAAATGAGACAAGTGTTTCAATATTTTATTTAACAGGTATCCAGTGAGTAGTCATCGAGTCCTTGGGTCCCATGGCCTGGAAATGAAGGCAATAATCGTCCATACATGCAGGTTTCACAACATTTTGGGGAATTTTATTTGCCTTTTTGGCCTTAGCGTCACCCGAGTATCTTTAACACTAATGTGGTGGCATGTTCGTTTCAGCTTTGGAGCTGCAGCTGATGCGAATAGACAGCCTTTCCCAAAAATGTCGAACTACTCCATTAAGGGTCTTGAAAACGGTTAACTGAAATCACAAAACTAAACTAAAACTGCCAAGAAATTAGCCTGACATTACTTAGTATTTTTAAGTGCTCCGACTTGAAATAAGCACATTCACTAGTTTTATATAGGCTATTTGAAGTTAAAAACGTTTAATTACGTTTCTTCAGCAAAATAAAAATGTCTTAGAAAAACTACTTAACTTTTTAAAACACTACCCATTGGCTTAATTTTTTGTTTCTAGTTATGAAAATCCCAAATCCGGACAAGCAAAACAAACTACAACCTCTTCTACAATGCCCCACGATACCTACCTGTAGCTTGACTGTCAAACTTCAGACTTAACAGGTGCTCAGGCTTTTTGTGCACTCCAGACAGTCACGTGATCTAATTAGATCCAGTCCTAATTATGATGCTCATGTGCGCTGCGCAGGTAATCAGTGACATAGTAATTGGCACGCCTTCAGGTACACTTGTTTTCAAAAGTCAGATCCACTACTTCTCTTTTAGCCTCAGACATGTTTTGTTTTGGAGGGGTCATTAGTCACATATTAAATGTTTCTGTTTTAATGGAGACATTATCTTTACACAAAGGAGAACTGAACGGTATGCCAAATACTATTAATTTCTACTCTGTTAAATTGGTTATAAAAAGAAATGTATAAAGTTGTTGTATATCTATTTTATAATCCTCTGTATATGTTCCTTTGTTTATGTTTTTTACCTATGCTTTTACTGCTATTATTGCATTAATTACCTTTTTTTTAACCTAGTTTTAATTTTTTTCTATACTTTTATTTTACTTTTTATTCAGTTATCATTCTTATCACTACTTATGCATTGGTACTTGCTGAGTTTACCTGGTTCATTTGATCCTTTTCTATATATATATATATATATATATATATATATAAACAAACAATGTATTGCACTAATAATTTGAGTTGTTAAATAACTATATAAGGCAAAGCGTCCAGAGACAATGAAACACCTGACGAACTGTCTCAGGCTCCTTTAAAAATATTTAGTCAAATTTGAAATGGGATGTGTTTAGATCCTGCTGCATAGAATGTCCTGTAACTTGGGTCATATTACTATCCCTATTTTATCAGATATAATAGAAGTCATAAAAGGCATTTCTTTACAGGGAAAAAATAAGCAATTTAGCAAATGGAGTTTAAACAATGTTATCAAAACACAACACAATACACACCAAATTATACAAGAGTGATTTTAAATTTGTGTAGACCACTGAGTCAAAACATTGATGTACACGCAGAAGTAAAATTCACTTGATCATCTTCAGATCTGAGAGTTGAATCTCATGATCTGAGGCTCACACGGTTGATTGTTTCCCTCTTTATCTTATGTTTGTAATTAAAAAAATCTTATTAATAAAGGAACACAATCTTTTAGTTTAACAGAAACATTACTCACTTTGGAGATGCATGGTTTTCACTGGACAGGAAGGGTATGGAAAAATTGTAATCTGAAAGCTATCTAGTTACTAAAGCTGTCAGACAAATGTAGTTAAGTAAAAGTATAAATGGAAATATTCAAGTCAAGTAAAGTACCTCAAATTTGTGTTTAAGTACAGCACTTGAGTAAATGTAATTACATCCCACCACTGACCACTAACTACAGATGGGTGACAAATTAAAGTATGAAGTTAGGCCACCAAGAGCCTCCAGAAAGGCTTCAGTGCTCCTTACCAAGTCTGTGCAACTCTATTGGACGGTTGAACACCATTCCTCCACAAGACATTCCCTCATTCTGTTGGGCCCCATTTGATCTCTGTTTTCAACAGCTCCCTATCTACTGGTTGTGTCCCTGATTATTTTAAAAACGGCTTGTGTGAACCCACTTTTAAAGAAACCTGGTTTAGATCCCTCCCTCCCACATAATTTTAGACCAACTTCAAAACTGCCTTTTATTGCAAAGATTCTAGAAAGAATTGTGTCCAAACAGCTGCTCACTGGAAAATAACAAATTATTTGAAAAGTTTCAGTCTGGTTTCAGGAAGTACCACAGCACTGAGACTGCCCTGCTTAAAGTCACCAATGACCTTTTAATGTCTGCTGATGAAGGCATGTGCTCAGTCCTGGTACTCCTGCACCTTAGCGCTGCTTTTGATACCACTGATCACAACATCATGTTAGACAGACTGAGGCACTGGGTGGGGATCTCTGGTACTGCTCTAGAATGGTTTTCATCCTACCTGTCAAATAGGAAGTTTTGCGTGTCTGTAAACAACTATGTCTCCTCGTTCTGTCCAGTTAAATATGGTGTGCCTCAGGGGTCGGTCTTAGGACCCATTTTGTTTTCCTTGTATCTGCTTCCCCTTGGACATATTATCCATAAACATGGCATTTCTTTTCATATTTATGCTGATGAGACACAAATATACTTGCCCGTCAGATCCACAGACCCTGGAATGCTGAGTTCACTTAACAACTGCCTTTGTGAAGTTAAAAAATGGATGTCAAATAATTTCCTCCAGCTGAACTCAGACAAAACAGAAATCCTGGTCATCGGGTCCCAGCAGATGGCAAATAAAATACTGCCATCTGCTGGTTCCCTAGTAAATCACATTAAGCCTGTGGCAAAGAACCTTGGTGTTTATTTTGATAGTAATTTAAATTTCGAGCAGCACACCACAAAGCTTGTTCAATCATGTTTTTATCAACTTAGAAATATAGCTAAAATTCGATCCATGTTAACTTTTAAGGACACCGAGACCATTTTACATGCCTTCATCTCATCACGCCTGGATTATTGCAACAGCCATTTCACCTGTTTAACCCAAAAATCTATTGATCGACTCCAGACTGTCCAGAACTCAGCTGCCAGGCTTTTAACCAGAACAAAGTAATATGACCACATTACTCCTATTTTAGCTTCATTACACTGGCTCCCAGTATGTTTTAGAATTGACTTTAAAATCACTTTTAAAGCTCTTCATGGCCTCTCGCCTTGTTATATTTCTGACCTTTTAGTCCCATACACACCAGCACGTACCTTGAGATCCTCGGGCAGAGGTCTGTTGTCTGTTCCAGAGTCTCGACTGAAAACTAAAGGGGACAGAGCGTTTGCTGTCAGGGCCCCGAGGCTCTGGAACAGCCTGCATGAGGAAATCAGGTCGGCTGAGTCAGTGAACTCTTTTAAGTTCCTTCTTAAAACATACTTTTATAGGAGAGACTTTCCCGATCTTATTTGACTTTATTTTATCCCTTTTATTTTATTGTATTTTACTAATTTCATATTAATCGGTATTTTAGTCTTTTCAATGTTTTCATGCTCTTATCTTGTTTTTTTGTATTATTCTTTACACTTGTTAAAGCACTTTGTAACTTGTTTTTGAAAAGTGCTCTACAAATAAGGATTATTATTATTATTTATATATACAACCTTTATTTAATCAGGTAATGTCATTATCAAGAGAGACCTGAGTACAGCTGATACAAAGAAAAAACTAACATAATCAGACATAACAAAAGGATCAGAGACAGTCACAGACATCACTAAATCTACATCTGTATCTACATTTGATATGGTTCTCCACTCTTTTTATTCAGGTGTTTTCTTTATAATTTGTCCCCATCTGTAAAGACACAGAGAGGATAATCTTTCAGTTTTATCGTAGCAGTGATTGTACATGCATCTGTGAGCGGTGTCCACAAGAGGGAGACAAATATCTTTTTAAGTTAGTCATTGATAACATTTTCTCTGGGGAATGTACAGCTAACTCACTGCTGTTGCATCATTTCGTTTTCTCCTGCCTTGAAGTTAAGCAATTGATATTTTCACTTTAGTTGATTATTTATTATTGTTTAACATGTGTTATCAAATAAAAATGCCGGATATTTGCTGGTTCCAGCTACACAATGTGAGAACTAGCAGCTTGCGTTGTTGTGGGCTGTTGACAACAAGACATCTGAGGGATTCACCCTGGGCTCTCTGAACTTGTGACAGGAAAATGTTGTACAGTTTTGTCATTTCATAGATTAAATGATGAATTGATTAATCAAATAGAACACTTGAAATTTCTTATTATGCATTTCTTTACTCATTGACTCAGTCAACTTTTGAAAAAACCCTACTTGTTTGTCCACTTGGAAGTATTATTTCTTCAGACATCATTTTAGTCTATACAGCAGATTTTAACCAGTGGATGACAAATCCTAACTTGTAGCAGTGTTGCCATGATACAGGCATTTAGCAAATTCAGCATAAGTAATTTTGTGTTTCCACAGAGATCACGAGGTGGCACACAGGGGCTGCAGCTCTTGCAGCAGGTTGCATCAGTCTCATCAGATCAGGCCCGTGCAGCTGTGACGAGCGCCCCCCTCGGCAGCTCTCATCATGACTAATGCAAGTTGAAACCACCGTCACATTTGTGTGTGAGATCATGTTTACCAACAGCCAAGGACAAATGTGACATAGCTCAGGTATCAGGGAGTGTTACTGATAGAGGCATTTACAGCACTGAATCAGATGAAACAGCCTCAACCTTGGTCTGAAGATAAACCTGCTAGTTAATGTGAAACTAGTGATATAGGAGGGAGCAGAAAACAGTACAGCTGGAAAAAAACTTTAGTTACCAGACAAGTGTTTAGTTGAAAGCATTTTATTGCATTTTTTTTTTTAGAAAAACAATACAAAATTCTGTAGCAACGGTCATAAATGTTGCCTTGAGTGAACTGCAATCATTCACATGGTACAGTAAAGTGCTTATTTTAAATCAAAATGTTTTTGTACTTAAAGGATGTATTTACTTCAAATTTATTCCCACAAACACAGTGGGTTTGGGGTAATTCAGTTTTAAAATCAGGTGTCAACTCTCAAAAGGAAAAGACTTGAGGACTGTATCAACGTAGACAGAATAACCCAACATACCATGAAGTTTTTATAAAACATTTGATCAATGTTGCTGGATTGTAAATGCTTTTGCCTGTGGGCTACATTCAAATTGTAGGGAGTTTGATGGGACTGTCTATTTGAATGAATGTTAACACTTCCTTCAAAATGACTTACAATATAAAAAATTGCAAGACTTAAGGATATAATTTTGTCCCCTTCCCCCTCCACCCCACCCGAATAAAAGGTAGTCCAAAAAGCTACTGCCACTTGACAAAAGTAGAAATGGTCATGACCAAGAAAACTCTTATTATACCATTCAGGATATTAGAGTATGGCCAAAGTTTGTGCATTTGAGTATCCAACCCTATCAAAAAAGTAGGGCCTAAATCAGCTGATGCTCAAAAGGGAGAAGGCAGAATACTGAACTGTATTGGTATTTTCAAAACCCCAAGATTGCCTTGATCATCAGCTTAATGCTTTGAAATTATTGATAGCAAAATAGTTTCCCAAATGGAGAAGAAACAGCTGCATACACAAATTCAAGTAAGTCTTATTATAAGACATAAAACCCCTTAACTATGCATCTGTAGAAGGTATTTTAGAACTATTACAGTGTCCTATTATCAGCATAATGGGTCCTTTGACACCAAGGGAGCCATTTCCAGAGTACCGTCGCTGCAGTGCTGGTAACAGGACACGGACAATCAGAAGTCCCCACTTCTCACTGCTCTGTGATGGATCACATGTTCAATGTCATGACTTGAACCCTCTTTGGTGAAATGGCTACAGTGTTGTGAGACCTCATCACCTGTCCATTACCTGTCGGTTTCAGAATGAGCTTAATAAACTTATCTAAACAAAAATATATAATTATTGCCAACTCTCATAAAAAAAAAAATTAAAAAAAAAAAAAAACACATAACACAAAATTAAAACACCTTCACTGGGCATGAACGCTCCAGCTCCACTAAACCGACCATCGTGCTCTCTCACACACACACACACACACAGAACTTTTAAAAACATTTAAAAAAAAAAAAAAAACACACACACAAACACAACCTTTAAGGAAAACATCCGGTGTTTCACCTGAACAGCACCTGCATGAAAATCAACATAGAAAATAAAAGCTTATTAACAGCCATGAAAAAAGGGGGAGGGGGAAATCAGTGTGGCACATTGACATGGAGTTTTCAAACATGAAAAATAAAGTAAACTTACAGCTACATGTTTGTGGAAGACTTGTTTTTTTTTCCTTTTGTGGAATGTTTTTCCTTTTTTTGTGTTTCATTTTTGAAGAAAAAAAAAAAACTCATCTGCATCTTATTTTGTAATGTCATTATTTTGAAAGGGTTGTCTCAAAACACACAATGGTGAACCATTGAGGAAAAAAAAAAAAAAACCCAAAACAAAAAAGTCCAAATATATTTGATCAACAAATGACACTTTGGTTACATTGGCCAAAATGTGCTTTTAAGACCCCTGATAGTAGTTCTAACCTTTACTGGCAACATGTTCAAGGTTAAATCCAATTTCTAAATTGATTTGTAGGAAGAAGAAAAACAAACAAACACCACAATTCTGGTTGTTGGAAAGGGGACGTCATGAATTCTTTACGATGAAAGACACCGACCCAGTTTCACTTGCCTAGCCATTTGACATAATTAGCTTGTACCAACATAATGGATGTACTTCAGGGTTTGCTCAGAAGTACAATTTCGGGGGAGTAAAACTGTTTACTTCAATAAGAGACTTGCCTGACGGTCTCACAAACACTGAAAAGTGTGGCCACTGATAAGTTGGGAAGTTCATGTACTAAACTGTATGAATCGGTGCAACAGTAAGTCATGGCTGGCTACAGACTAACATTTTTTGCTCTAGGAGCATTAAGTGCGTGGCCACCAAGCTAGATGAGTGCATGTTTTATCTGACATTTACAAAAAAAGCTCAGCGTTGAGGAAATTCATCTTAAATTGAGACAAAAAAATTCTTTGAAGTCCCCAGCCACATAATGGACCGCACCAGGCACGGACAGCATTGGCTTACAGACCTTCCAACCCCTTATACTGAATCCCTTCAAAGACAGGAACAGCCTTCATCTTGGCGTATTGCATAAGCTTGTACGTATCTGCAGATGGGCCATTCACGCATATACATACAGGCAAAGAGAACATTCCAGATAACTTAATTCACAGTGGATCCAGTTGTAACGTGGGAGCAGCACAACAGGTTGTCCTTTGGTGTCTGAGCTTAGTTTCGAAGATAAGCGTTCTGATGTCTTCTGAACGGTGTTATGAATAAAATTAAAACAAACCAAACATAACTTAGAAAATACTTCTCTCTCTCCCCCAAAACATTAACTGCCCCCCCCCGGAAACCCAGACATGCACATATGTGTGTGTTTGCTATATGCAGGCCCTGGGCTGATGTGCTTCAGAAGTGCTGCAGAAGGGCAGAAGGCATTTAGAGAAAGGGCTGCAAGCAGCATCTCCCTTTACAGTGAGGCAAGAAAGCCTGAATGTATGTAACCAAGGCCAGCTAGAGTCAGGGAGAGGAGCCAGAATTAGAGGGGGAGAGTCTCAGGGCAGTCTTGGATCTGGACATGAATCTTAACGGAAGGTCGGAGGTCAGAGTTGACAAAGTTCAGGCACAGTCTCCCACAATAACGAGAGGGGCCAAGAGCTGACGAAGCTCTGCAGCAGAAACGGGCCCTCCCTTGGGCTGGCTGCTTCGCTGCCTGCGCTTAGCCAGCTTGGAGTTGGAAGGAGAAAGGCGCATAGAAGAGCCAGTAGCAGTAACAACAAACGGGATTTCCTGCTGCTGCTGGTCTTCCATGCCATCCTGTTCAGCCAGCTGCCGGTTCACAGCCATGGCCTTGTCAGCAAAGAATGTCAGATCCCTGGCATTGCTGGTTCTAAGGGACAAGGAAAGGGGAAAGAAATAAATCAGTCATTGTGAGCAAATGAAATACAAGATGCAAATATATTGGGCTAAAGTGTGACAGGAATACAGTCTTGTGTAACAGTAACGTGTATAATGTTTTCTCACCGTTGATGCAAGATGGATGTTGGCAAAGTGTCATAAGCACCCTGAAAAAAAGAAAAAATATTAGTTAATTAGAAACCTCAACACTTAAACATACTGTGAAATAGCTGCAGAAAATGTGTGATTTCAAGACCTACCCCCTGCACCCAGGGGTGCTGCAGCACCTGGCTGGCACTCAGGCGGTTTTTGGCGTCCCGAACCAGAAGTTTGGATATGAGATCTTTGGCACTTGAGGAGATGTGAGCCCAGTCTTTCTCTGGAAACTCATATTTTCCTTCCTGGATACTCTCAAACAAAGTGTTCTAGAAATGGACATAAAAACCATTTATCAGTTACCTTGACCTGGAGGCTGAAGATACAATGTTTATGTCCAGTACAAGATGCAGGAAATATGAAAAGCTGAATAAATGTGTCTAACTCTTACCTGGCAGGTATGGCAGGGTTCCCCTAATTCCCAGCCACAGTCACCGCCACAGCGGCCTACAAAGGGTGGGTAGCCGCTCAGCATGATGTACAGGATGACTCCAAGGCTCCACAGGTCACAGCGCTTGTCGTAAATTGTGGCCTCCTCACTGAAGGCCTCAACCACCTCAGGTGCCATGTACTCTGCTGAGCCACACTGAGACAAGAGGAAACAAAAACAAACAAGTTTGTTAGCCGCAGGCATGACAGAAAGCAGTATCTATAGCAGAAAAAAAGCCTCTTGGCTGCAGCCCACATTCCTTCACTCAGCTGATACCTCGTGGTTGCTAGTGTTAAAGCTTGGAGCCCACTCTTGGGCTGTGCGCGTGGGGGGGCAGCCTGTGACAGTCACATGCTTATTTGCGGTGATGGGTTCACTTAAAAATGTGCTCCACTGCATTTCTCAATGCCCTTAAGGACACCTCAGTGGAAACATCGTGTACAATTCCATTTCAAGGGTAGAAAAGGGAGGGATATGCTATAATGAAGCAGGTTACTGTGGGTAGGCCGCAGCAGTGACTCACTGTTATGACCATCTAGCTGTACAGAAGCCAGGCTCAGCTCTGACGGTCCCTTGTTATGTAGCTAAGAAAGAAATTAGGCCAAACTCTGAGCAGGGAAAAGAGGATTGAGCTGTCCTGCAGAGCCAGAGACCGGCCCTCAACACTTACATAACTTGGAAACACAAACACCAAAACGCTTTTAATACTTTTAGGAACAGGAAAAGGAGCAGCGGGTCGCTAGTTCAGTAGGACATGTACGTATGTGTGGATAATATAACATTTAATCGTTGCCTCAATGGATCACCTTTTATATTCTTAGGAAAGAGTTTGGATTCTGTGAGCTCTTTAGAGGATGTCCTAAATATAGACACTACTGGTATAAATTCTTAGAACTTGCTGAGAATACCTGTTAATCAGCCCTTTGCCTGATCAGTTGTTTTTAAATCTTCCACCTAGGCCTGCATCCTGGAAAACCCCAAGGCCTATATCCTTACCTCAATCTGTGGGTGATCATGTTTACATAGAGCAGGCATCTATTGTGTCCCAGTACCATATCCCAGCTGTCTCCTAACTCCTCCACCCTGCTGCACCCTTATGTAATGGAATTTGCTGCACAGGAATCTCATCTCAGACAAAGCTGCTTCTGTCGGAGAGAAAACCCAACCCCCACATTTCCACCAACATCATCGTGTCTGGGGCGACTGCCTCCACGGACATGCCCACAGGATTCAGGCCAAATGTAGCTGCCACAGGAATAAAAGAAATATTTTTGCCTACCAAGGTGCTGTAAAACTGAAAGGGGATGCGATAGCTGTGCTATCAAATAACAGCTAGCAAGGCTAGTCTTGTTTCCAAGCACCTAAAGTGAAATAACCGTAGTCATGGCTCTTTAGCATATCCTCAAACTCGCAAGTTCTTCCTGTACTGTTGTTGCAAACACTTCTGAGCTTGCACCAGTTACATCCTCCTTAAACCTTTCCAAAAGCTGCAGATACAGTTGTTACCGCAGGCTTCGTTGGTATTGCAACCTGGGACTTTCCTGAAACCATGTGACTAGTCAGACCATATTGACACCACTGACGACACACACCTCTGCTGTTTGTAAACTACAGGATTATCTGAAGAGGCTTACAGTAAGACGACCTGTTCTGTCGTCATGCAGCTGCACCTGTGACAATAACTGAGGCAGTTCCTTGATTTTTTATTTTTTTTAAACTGTCTAAGCTGCTTTGTGTTCCCAACTGCTGCACATGAGCGTTGACGTCTGAACTGTCAAGATTTATCTCATGCCAGACAGCCAGCCACCTGTGTAAATTTCTTAGTAAACTAAAATTAGCTTTTTCCTAGAAAGGTCCCTCTCCTTTTCCCTGTGCTCCTGTCTTTCAAGTTTGTACTAGAGAGAATACAAACATCCACTGTAAACATACATTCTCAAATAGCCCATGGGATTTTAGTTGATTAAACACATTCAGTGGGATCAGGTACATAAGTACTAAAATGCAAAATCAGACTATATTGTGCAACAGCTGTAGGAATGTGGGTAAAATAAGGGCAGGTGCCAATAGTGACATGAAAATCAGATAACATTGTTCCTGTGATCAAGGCAAAGAAAACAAGCCAGAGCGCATGAGCAGACAGGGCGTTTGTCCCTCCCAGTTAACCTCCCCCTCCCACTGGTTTAGCCAATCACATTTCAGTTGCTAGGTATATAGGGGGGAGGGGGGGAGCGACTAAAATTTCTAGAACAAGCCTTATGCACAGCCTTTGTATAAAGAACATAAAGAAAGCGCAGACCAGCACAAGCTGGTTGGGGCCACAGGGCGGAGACTAAGCAGAAAGGGAGGGTGGATGTTATTCTCTCACACCACAGAGAGAAAAGGGAAATGAGAGTTTGTGTTGTGGTTTCATTGTAACTTCTTCATAATCGTAGGACATGGCCTTGTAAAAGTCACACTGTGTTCCCTGCAGCTATACTGCATTTCAAGGCTATCACATTGTGCCTTGTCCTCCAGCATCAACTTTTCTTCCACTAAAATCTCTGCATTACATCAGGTCTTGTGGTTGTGTGCAAAAATACCCAGCACAACAAAACTTCAAGATAAATTAAGCAGGCGTGCAGCGTTGGAAATTACTTTCTAGCTTAGCAGTATTAAGAGATACCATGGATGTAGTAGGCTGTAATTAGCATGGCATAATGAAAATGAACACTAGTTTGTGTTTTGAATTATGGCGAGCAAATTGAACCGCATTCCAAACATCCCTGCACCAAATACACAAAACATAATTCAGGCCCAATATCTAAGTCCATGTAGACTAAACATGAGGTGCCTCTTGGCCTCTAAACCATCTCCCCTTCAAATACTCTGGGGATGGGCTCTCTATTCATTAGTTATGCTAAAGGAAGATGAAGTTACCAGTGTAGAAAATCCCCCACCCATCCCGACATTCCTGCAGGCTAAACTGCTATCCTCCACCTGTTCTGGTCCATCCATCCAACCCCCTTCCCCCAGACAACCAGCAAACAGTGTTGACATAAGCATGCCAGTTTTTCCCCCCCGCTTTGTGTTGTGATGACAGCAGGAGAGTTCAACAATCATAACCCCCAGACTCATGGACCCCAATATTTGTGTCTGATAAGCATCAGAACGTGGACATTAAACCAAAGGTTGGCTGATACTTGATAAGAAAGCATAAAGCTGCCAGCTAGGGACATTCAGGAAACAATCCATGTAATTTCAGAGAAGCTGCCCAACACTGAACTACCTTAACCTCAAAAACATTCTCTACCTCTCCCAATCAGCGAGCTGTCCTACAGCTAACACCACTGAGGATTGCCCAATAGGCTACCAGCCAGTTGGACTTGATAAAGACAGTTTTACAGCCTGAACACACCCTGCTTATACACAAGGACACACCACTGTACAGTTCTCTTCCTCACTCTCAATAGCTATACCCATTATATTGCTAACTGCTTCCCTTCAATATCACTGTCCCAATCCCATTTTATAAAAATGGTCTTTAGTGTTTGAACAAGACAATATACAGGTGGACTTACAGGAGTGAGGAGCTCAGGGGTGGAGATGGGTGAGCTGTCGCTGTTCAGCTTGATGCCACTTCCCAAGTCAAAGTCACAGATTTTAACTGGTGAAATCTGACAAAGATACAAGTTCAGAATCATTAAAATTCATGATTCATCATTTGTGTGGAGTATCTACTTGTATGACAAGAGATTTCAACTATCATTTCTCTTTACCAAGGTTCATATCACCATCTTAGAGGAACTAATCACACTTTACCACATTAATTACCCTTTGAACTAATTGGGCTCAAACATGTGTGCAGTAAGCTCACCTTGTCTGCACTCTTACAGAGAATGTTCTCAGGTTTCAGGTCTCTATGTGCCATTCCTAGGGAAAAAAAATATTATGAAAGCAATCAGTCACATTTTTCTGTTAATAAGACCTGGTTTTGCGCCAGGATCAAGGATGTTTGTTTGTGTTGTTGTTTTTTGCATATGGTGTCCGAACTACTGTACTAAAACCTACTTCATGGTACGCATATACCCTTAGAGATGCTTTGCCTTTTTGGTGATCATGAGTAGTAATAAAGTCTTACCTTTGTTATGCAGGAAATCTAGAGCACTGGCTATGTCCTGCACGACAACACTTGCTTCCTGCTCACTGAAGTGCCGTCTCTTGTGAATGTGTGCCAAGATTGACCCTAATGCAGGGAAATAAGAGTATATATCAGCTGCATTTAGAAGCACAAGGCATAGAATGCATGCCTTCCGACAGACAAATGACTTTTTTTTAAGCCATTCGGCAATGCATGTGTCTCTAGTCTGTAGCCAAAGGGAACTGATGCAGGCATCCTGCAGCAGCTATAATTCACTAACCTCCTCTAAGCTTTTCAAACACCAGGTAGAATTTGTCCTCCTCTTCAAAGAACTCCACCAGCTCCAGGATGTTGCTTCAGAAAAAGAAAAAAAGCACCATGAGCCAGAGGTAACAGACATCTAGTGCCTGCTGATTTCTGGACTAAGTAGGAGGACTAAGGGGTTCAATAGAATAAGCTTCAGCACAAATAAGGTCAGTCAGTTTATGGTACAGTCCCTATACATTCATCAGGTGGTATTGCTTAGTTGGTCATGACAGAAGGCCATTACCTGTGACCCTGGCACTGATAGAGCATCTCAACCTCACGGAAGACACGGCTGCGGCTGTGACCTGGTCTTTTCTCAATGATCTGGAACAGAACATCATAATGGTTCAGTCACATTATCTAAAAATAGCCCACTGAACTGAATTAGTCTGACTTTCGTGTTTTCCACAGTAGTGGGTGGGAGGATAATTATGAAAGTGCTCTAACGGCTTAAGAAAAATTTAGCCAATCTGTGAGTTAATATTTGGTTACACTGCACCAGAAACTCCACCCGTGTGTTTACTGTTGACAAGGCGGCATAGCACAGATTATAGATTCCATATAAAGAGCCCTGTTACTGGCTTAGTTCCAGACCAGACATGCATTTTTCCTGATTCCTTTATCCCACCGTGTGCAACAATTGGAAGAGATACTTTAACCTTCTTTCAGAGCCAAAGGAGAGACTAACAGAATGAGAATGAAACAAGTCACAGCAGCTCATATTTAACCTTCATGTGTGACCCATATTTAAATCTTAAGTGCTCTTGAGGAGCCAAAAGTCTTCCTTTGAAACATCCCATGAGCTAATCCAAAACTGTTTACAATAACCAAAAAATGCTCCCTAAATATAACTTTGCACTGCCTGGAACTAAACCACAGAGGGGCCACCAGCTGCACGACGCACTGCCGAGAGAGACAGAAACATAGACTGCTGACAACAGAGCAAAAGGCCTGAATTTTCCAGCCATGGTTGGTTATTGTCTGCTTGGGAGGCGGTGCATGTTTCTCTTCCTGGTAGCTGGATTACAGCTGCCATTGAAGCCCAGTGGGGCCCGAGTTTCAGTGTGTGTCTAGGATTAATGCACAGACAAGAGGCCTGTGAGCAGTCCAAAGCCTCTGCACTGTTTCAGTCTGAGTCAGCAGCACAAACAGCCCCCAATCAGCTCACTTTCTCCTGATCACTACACAAACCTTCCACCCTAAAAACACCACATGCAGATTAAAAATTTAAACTGCAAATCATAGCAAAAACACACAAGTGGGTCGACAGTTATTTGAGGGGTACTAGATTTAATGGTTGTTTACCAAATCACAGATCATAATCACAGCAGCCTGCTGCAAAACAAGGCCACACCAAGTCAGGTTCAAACCCAGGGGAACCAGAGCTTCAGATAAACATGTACTACACAGCCCTCTGCTCGTCCTTGGTGCTGCACGGCTTTTGTTGCAATTGTAACACAAGGAGCCCACCATAACTCACCCCAGTCTGTAGGGGGAGGGGAGAGACAGGACATCTGGCAGAAGCAGTCTGAGCCCCCTCCGACTCCTAAATGACCTCCAATAACTGCCGACCCTCGTGCCTCCTCCCCCAGAACGGCAAAGTCCCAGGGGACCTACCAAACCATTCCGGGGTAAACAATTCTCATAGATCATGGTCAAGTGATAGAATCTGTGCTCCGATTCCTCTAAAATATGAATTGGTATGATATGGACACTTCTATGGGGAACCAGCCTTTACCTATCAACACACTGTTTCAAATCTGAACAGAATTAAACTACAAAAGGAATTAATAGTTATAAAAATAGCTTGGTGTTTATTTCCTGTGTCCCAGTGGGATTAGGGGCCAAAAATTTATAAAATAAAAGTCAAGACATGTATTCACAAGTCCACACCCCATTTGGAGAGGAAAAGGAGAAAAAGTACAACTGTACTGAACGAGAAGGAGAACAAAGCAGTGTAAACACCCTGGGTCATAACTCTCACCCTGCACATCCCCCCCCCCCCCCTTCCTCTCTGTGGGTTGTGTTTTGGCACAGTTAACAGTACACTGTGTTCTCACTATGAGCGTCCTCTGTAGGCTGAAGGAGTAAAGAAAAGGGGTGGGTATATCCCTCCCAGCTCTTCGATAGGCTAGCAAAGTATAAAAACAGTGAAGGGAAGGGTTTGCTAACAGCAGCTAGTGTTGCACATTAAAAAGCACAGCAGTAGAACAGATTAGAGACTGCAGACTGAGCTGAAGTATGCTGCCCCAAGATCAAGAAGAGAAAGGCAACATGGACACAATGTCGCACATCCTGTAGCCTAGCTTTCTTCCATTTAGATAATCAGTAAGTAAGGTCACGTGTTTTCTTCATGTACAAAAGAATCTCTCAAAGTAAATGATAAAGTAACACAGCACGGCCCTAGACATAAAACATCTCTATATTGATGACTAGCCACAGTATCCACACACACAGCAAGTGTTACATAATAACGACGACATTCACAGACTCGTGAGAGAGGAGCACTGACTTGTAGCAAACCAGGACCCCATTCATTATGCTAACATCTTCAAATATATTACAATCATTTAATATGTGTGTGAGAATGTCTGCCCGCTTACCTTGACAGCGTACTCTTTGTTGGTGATGAGGTTGATGCATGTTTGCACTCTGGCATAAGCGCCCTCTCCTAGTACCTCTTCCTGCAGTCTGTAGACATCTGTGGCACAGAGTTTGACAAGTTAGGAACATACTTAATTTTATTAAATGTACATAAATTTAGTTGTTGCAAAAGATAATACTTGTGTTTTTGTAACAGCAACATAATGATCCTAAAAATAAAAGCTTTTACCCTCGAATCGTCCAGAGAAACTGTCAGTTGCCCGGCAACGCTTTTTCTTCTTGTTTCTCTTCTTGGCATCAGGGATGTCAATAGGCTGACTGGAAGGCATTTCTGTCAAAACAAGAGTGCCTATATTATCATGTGCTAGCAAGGAAATCACTCCAACTTAAGCACTACAAAGGGAGAAAAAAATTTAAGTGGTAATCACAATGTTTTTGATCAGAGTAAACTGTACATTTTTGCCAAATTGGAGAACTTATTGTATGGATAGATAACAGATAAGACTGTTCAAGTACTCACCATGTCTTGGGGAGGAATCAAAATTAAATGACGAATCAATAAGATGGGATCCATTTTTAGTGAAGTCCTCAGATTCAAAGGGATTTTGGCCCTAGGGAGTGATAATAAAAATATGATTGTTAAGGTATCTTATCAATGAACCATTTAGTGCTAGCTGTTAGAGATAACTGATAAGTTATAACTCCCATACTGCATAAACAGAAAGTAGACTCAAAACAGCAAAACAGATGGGCAGAAACGTTTAAAACTACCATAAATATCTGAAGCAACAAAGTCACCCAAACCCATCCAGTCATTAGTCAACCCTAACAATACAACACATAAATATTGCTAAATATCAATCAAAGAGCCACATTTCTTCAACTCAGCTGTAACCTACTGAAGTCCTACTTTCATTAGCTGAACATCCACGTGACACCGGCCCACACAGTATATTTGTCAGACATAAGATGTGGGAGAGCAACAGATGTGTTTATATATAGCAAAGTGAGGTCCTCTCATACATGCTGACAAATGTGCCCTGATTATAGAGACTTCCCAAAAGGCACGATAATAGCTCTGCATTTTCCCCCCTCAACAAATCTCAAACTCACCTTGAAAGAGCGGTGGAATCCAGTGACCTCGGTGATCTTATTTTGCACCATTTTGCTTTGATTTGGGGTGCTTTTGGTGGATGTGCGGCGGCGGCAGTGGTTTTTGGGATATGAATTTGCACTTCTCCGAAACAGAAAATCGTTTCAGAGAGTCGCAAGTGGTCGCACTGCGCTGGCCGGTGAGCTTGCTGCGGCGCTTTAAACGGGAGCCCTGTGGACAATACAATACACACCGCACCATTACAAAACACATTAACGTTTGCATAACAAATTACCGAGATACCAACGTGCATTAGCCAGATTTTAGCAAACCTGACTATGGCAGATTAACGTTAGCCAATATTCTTCACATGATCGTGGGTTAACGTCAAGAAAAACAATCAGAGTGCAACAACAGCAACGGCTAACGTTAACTTACAACACCACTCTCGTTTAACGTTATAACCGTTAAGTTAGTTGCATGCTTTTAAATGTGCCAAGATAAGAGAACATCATACTATAGTTTGGATAAAATAAGCAACTATGTTGGAAAGCCACGCTGTTAAGATAGCGACCGCTACAACAGCAGCAGACAGGCTAACATTCGTTTAGCTAACATTAAGTTAACCGTAAACTCGCGACCACCGGGGTTTCGAGCTTGACCGTTATGACACATTCAACTTGTTAACGTTAGATAACAAAGGTTAGCCGAGTTACCGTTCATACTTAACGTTAACGTTACTGCAGCTAAGTGTCGCGATAACAACGGGTATTACGCCCTTTCAAATGTAAATAATGCCACTTTTTTTTACTCACCCCGTTGTTAATTTTACAGCTCCAGTGTTAGCGTCGTTGTTTGACCCACTGCTTCAAACGCCGCAGAGGACGGTCGAGGGGGGATACGCCTGATAGAAAGTGCGTGGAAGGTGGCTAACAAGCGATAGCGTAGGTGGTTTTATAACCTCCCTGCTGACTCCTCCTTGTCTCCTCCCTCCTCAGGACTGCATCAACGACGGGATGCATCATGTGTTTTCTAGAAAAGGATATGGCGGCTAGGTACCATTTCGTCTCGCCACATTTACTTTACCACTTCTTAAGGTAAGAAGTATAACTAATTAGCTGCTCGACGTGGTGCAGAAGGCATATAAATAAGCAATAGCTTGATGAGGTACGTCATTTAAAATAAACTTAGGTGAAATTCTGAACACATTTCACGAAAAGGTCTCAGAAACAAAATTGGTAATACATCCTAAATGGTACTCGGCCAGTGAGCTCTGTTTTGTTTCAGAGGCCCCACGACGGGATGTATGGAGGGGAGGAATGATCTGCCATGAGTACGTGCGCTTTGGCACAACCAGCAAATATGGCTGTTTTGATGAAAGAGATGTGAGGATCTCAATGGAGGTGGAGAGAACATGTAGACAAACCAGATCCTCCCGTTTATACTATGACGGCACTGAAATGATAATAACTTGTTCTGCTGCTGTCACTGGACCTCAGGGCTATGCTATAAACGGAGCTAGTAGGCTACATAAAATAACAATTTGCCAGCTTTGTGCTATTAAATATATAAACAAGCAGAAATACACCACCCCTTTCCCTCTCTGAAATGAGAGCATTTACATTTATGATGTTTGTCACACCAGTGATGAATGGCTATGGCCAGATTGGTGTTCAAAGAAACCCCCTGTCTGAGTCACTGCTATATAGTGCAATGACTTCAGCTATTGTGTGATTTCAGAAACAAATACACACAGTCAAACACACATACTCACATGCAATCTCAAAAGAAGTTTCACCACCTTCTACTGGTAAATACAAAAAATAAATACTTCCTGCAGTGAACATTTAATTTCCAGTACAAGTCAAGAAGTATGAGTATCAAAAGTAAATGCTCATAATGCAGACAGAATGACTCCTGTCAATGTTACATAGTATTATTTTATATATTGTTGGTTAAATCTTAAAACAAAATGACATCTTTTATCAGATGATCATCAGTTTTGTGTGTAAAACCTTAATCTTTAAAGTAACCAGTAACTTCAGCTGTCAAAAAAATTGTCATCAAGTGCTGTATTTGAGTAAATGCACACCACTGGATACTAACTAGAAAACAATTTCCAATATTTGGAAATATTTATCTGACTAACTGATAGATTTTAATGTCTGTTTGCTTTGGTGAAAGTAAACGATTTTGAAAATTAAAGCTGGGTTATGCAACTGTTGGTGAAACTAGCAAGAGACAGCTAGATTTAGAAATAATTTAACCGAAAAAATCCCAACCCGTCCTGTGATATCTTTTTCCAAAGCCACGCCCCTAAAATGCATGTGTGCATGGGCAGCGGATTGGCGAATCCAGTATGACGAAGACATGACCCGCCCCACTCTGCATCTGATTGGCTTAGCCTGACGATGCCGTTTCTCACGTAGCCCTTGCTGAAAGAACAGGGCTGAGTTTAGAGCAGACAAAACGTAGCAAAACGTTTTTTCAACGTAAACGATGGTTTCCTGAACACCCTGCTGTGTTCGCAAGCGCAATGAATTTCCCTGCCTTTTTAGCACCATTATGTTTACAAACTTGTTGCAGCTGATTGGGTAACAGCTGAGACACGCCCACCAAACGGGAGAAAACATACCTCGAAGCCCGTTGCAGAACGTTGCGCAACGTTGCAAGGAAACATGTCGTTCAATCCGAAAGTGTTGTAAACCGGTGCAAAACGTTTTGAGATTGAACTCGCCCCAAGGATTTTTTGCTGTTCTTTAGTCTATTGCAAATTAGCTCGAAATTGTTTAACCTTAATAATTTCTTGTAAATGCAGTCCATGTGTTCACAGTATAGGTAGCAACCTAGTTGTGGAGGGTGAGAAAAAATGTCATCCTTCTGGTAATAGGTGCATGTTTTTTTAATTGATTTTGTTGTAAGCGTTTGTCTTTAAACAAGCAAGGTTGTTTTTATGTCTTGTGTAGTCTACCCAAAGAGGTGTCAAAGTTTTCGTGGACTTTCATGCATATTTTATTAGCTGCCTGTTTGAGTTGTTTAGTTGGCTCATGCTGTTCACTCACTCATTTATTCGTCAATAAATAGTTTTGCATGATTACAACCACCAGCGTCTAAATAGTTGATCTGACTGAACATAGCAAGATCTGATGAATCAATGGCAGTCTACCCATTGATCCTTGAAAGGGGTGACGTCGTGTTATTTTGTTGAGTCATGGCTTACTACTATTTCAAACATTATTTATAATATTCATGCATTAAATTACAGCAAGGGCATGTTTTTTCTCACCCCCAGAACTAGGTTGCTCCCAATACTGTGAACAAATGGACTACACAAGGTACACAAATTCTTACAATTTAACAATTTTTAGCTAATTTGCCAAAAAAAACAGCAGAAGAGCGAAAATTGTCCTGGACTTTCAGCAAGGGCTACATGTGAAACCAAATGAAATGATTGGCCATGCTGGAGTGGAGACACTGTTACATTGTTTTGATAATCAAAGAAATCCAAGAACTCTGATGAAGTAGAAACATGCACTCTCTTAACCCATCTGCTAATTGTGAAATGCCAAAGCAATATTGCCACACAGGTGTCAAGTTCACACAATTTTCACAAATTTCAGAGATTAATGGCAATGATGGACAGAGGCGCACACACAGAAGGATGGTAAACTACTCAGTTAAGCCATATTAATTTTGCTCTTTTACGTGCATCCGATTAATTAAATCCAGATACTAATGATAGAAAATGTTCACCATCTTACCATATGTTGCATTACATGCCAAGAAGTGTACATGTTTTATTGTACCATGTGCTTTGTTGTCAAACTGTATGCCTTCTGTGAGTTGTTGTGTTAACGGTTATCACTGTATGCAATCCCTATCTCTATATAATCCTTGTATTGTTTATCAAGAATGTTAAAGTTAAAACCATGTACGGCTTGTTTTTAGGAGTCAACCATCTTGTGACTGGAGGCTTTCTGCCTCTCCTCCTTTCACCTTCTGCCCCTCAAACATAAGCCTGACGGTAGCAAACATTACGCAAGCTATTGGCTGACTATGCCTAGGCAGGAGCACATGGTGTAGTGGAAGGTTTAGTAAGAAAACAGGATCACATGTGGGTGGGTCTGTGTCACTACAGGTCAAAAGGAAGAGGGATAGGCAATCATAAATAACTTCAGCTGGCAACAGCCACATTTCAGTGTGAATGGCACTCAATCAGGAGATACTCAAGGAGTTTCTCTTTTGAGGCAGTCTGAAATATGATATTACAGAGGTGCGTCTCTGTTGTTTGATGACACTGCAATTCGAGACTAGTCTTCTAAAGTATCCTGAGGCTATAGCTGTAGATGCAGGTACCTGTTCAACTAGTTGTGTTACTGCCATCTGTCTCAGTGGACGTGTGCATCTGCATCATTTCCATTATGTCTAATAAATAACATTCTCAAAAGTTAGTATGACATTCCAATACAGTTAGCTGCGTTGACAATTTAATTCAGCACTTTTTAGAAATTGACCCGCGAATATTTTTTTTATATACAGTCTGTGGTTTCAACGTGCACACCTCACCAGTGAACCAGTAAGCACACATCAACTCATCAAAGTCATGCAACTTTATTTTAAATTCAAGTAAAGGTCCCACATTTTCCTCAGATACCAAATATGCAGTGGTGCAATCATAAAAACATGGAGTCTGGGGTTTGAATATTTCTCTCATGGTAAACATCATATAGTTTTAATGCTGAGCTGCAACAAGCCGATACAGAATATATATGTGATACTGTCAGAAAGTCTGTGTCAGCGCGGCTCATGAACTGCAACAAAAACGGGAGACACACGGGTCAACTAAATAACATTATTAATAATATGCAAAGCCAATGAGTGGGAAGAATCTGTAAAGTCAGTAGTGTCTGGAGTGGATGAATGAAAATGTGCTGCATGGATGTTGTGCTGTAAAAACAAAGACAAGAAACCAAACACAATAAAGGAAGACGTGAGATGAGGAGGTCCGACCCAAGACTGACTGCTGCCCTGGCTTATATGCACGGAGAACACCAGGCCCTTGTGTGTCCCATGCTGCTGCTTAGCCTGCCAATCAGGTATACAGCCCTGTAGACAAAAAGCATATTAACAGCAGTTTGAACCCTGCAGAGGGGCCGTCACAGTCTGTAAGATGATTTTGCCAACCTGAAAGTTACTTAAATGGAAAAAAAGGGGAGAAACTTTGTAACTCTCTTCGAAACTCTAAAAAGTCAAACCATGTCATGACCATGACCATGACCATGTCAAAGTAAAAAAAAAAAGCACAAAGCTACACTTAAAATGCGTTATTAATGCTAAGAAGAAGTAATTTTAATTGATGAGTTAAGGTCCTAAAGTCTGAAACACCAGGATATGTTGCAAAAACATTCCTGAACTGTCCTTATAAACAGTACAGTACTACACCACGCTTCATGCATCTGTGCATGTTGTGCAAATGTGTTCATGAAATGCATGTGTCTGGCATATCCAAATAAAACTGTCAAGAAGATGAGTGTGGTAGAAGCGGCCTGCCATCTTAAAAAGTTATAATGAGTAGCATACTTTTCTCAAGTAGGAAGGTCACAGTCTGACGGTGCTTACTGTACCTTTTCTAAGAAGCCTTCCCATAGCAAATTTCCTAGAAGGAAGTAGCGTCCAGTTAGGCATAGACCCAAACATAATCTCTAGCAAAAACTTATATGCTTTAGGTACTACAAAAGCAAAACAGCTTACTGGACCACTGAAAGGAAAAAAAAATCCAGCAAAATCCCTTTAACACAGAAAGAGTTACGAAGGATTTTGCAATAGCCTTAGTTTTTTCCAATTTCCATTTCTTGGAAACCTTTTGTTTTGTTTTCTGCACTTCACTCTTGTTACATAACTGTAGCTATACATACTGTATAGCAAAGCATTTTAGATTCTCATTTCAGATTGGGCAATACACCAGCAA